AAGCTGAGGCTTTGACACTCTGTCCCTTCCCCAGGTCACTGGATGTCCTCTGAGCCTTTCACTTGAATGGCCATCAGGTTCCAAGAAGTGTCCCCTGTCTCTGCATTGCTGGTTCCAAGAACTGCAGCTTCTGGCAGCATTTGCCTGGCATTCTTTCTTAGAGCCTACTTGGGTTTCTAGAGTCTCCAGGCGGGGAGAGTTGGAGGCAGAGAACGGAAAGAGATGACTTCTCTACAGAGAAGGTCCTTCATGAACTAGACATTGGGAGGTGGTCCTCGACTGTCAGGCGAGGGGGATAAACACACTGAGGTTAGGTATAGGCGGTCAGTGAAGTGAAATACCCTGTCTCCTTCCTGATCAGTCATATGAGCAGGACTATGTGCTCTCCCTCACAAAAGGAAAATGATTCCCTGAGCCCATCATTTCCACTAGCTTCCCACACCCCACTCCCCATCCCATTAGCCTGGGTCCCCAGAATTCTAGGCCACAGAGAACTGGCCCAGGCCTTCTCCTGGCCTCAGCGGAGACCATCGTCAGAAAACACCCAGAGGTACAGGCCAGGGGACAGTATGGCAAGTTCTCAATAGTGAAGGGGATGGGAGCAGGAATTCTGGGGCCTTGAAAGAACGTGACACCTTCACTATGAATCTTTTTATAATGTTGCTTTGCCTGCTTAGAACTGAGTAAGTCACCCCTCCAAGTCCCCCAGCAAGTTGGGTGGGTGTGACTAGGGTCAGGGAGAGACAGGCCATGATGGGTGGGCAAAGACAGAGTCCAAATTCCCTCAAGGTCAGCTGGGCCTCTCCTCTGGGTATCTTCCACCCACTCCACCTCTGAGCTGGCACCGGGCCTGCCCACTCGCCTGGGACCTGCCCGAGCACATTGAGCAACCAGTTCCTGAGAAGCGTGGAAAGCTGTTTGGTTTAAAATTAACTCCCCCGCGCACCCTCCTGCCCGCCCTCCTCAGAGTTCTTGGAAGAGGCACTCTGCTCTTCCTGGGAAGAGGCCTCTAGCCACAGCTGCTATGGTTCTGGCGAAAACACCTCACCCAGGGTGGGGGCGGAGCTGCCTACACTGTGCCTTCTCTGCCCTCCAAAAGCACCCACAGGTAAACTGCTGAGACCCAGGAGAGAAACTGGGGATGGTCAAGTTGCTGGAAAGGGGGTGCTGGTGTGCCTCAAACCCACACCTCCCAACCCTGATGCTGACTGGCTGACTCCAAGTGAAAAGGTACAGGGCTATGCAGACCCAGCCTGGGTGCCTTTCAGGTAGGACACAGAGCAAATGGATCCCACAGACAGTAAACCCAGAATCTTGGCCTGTGATGAGAATGTGTGTCTCAGGAAGATAAAAACAGCCTGCTCAGAGTCGCCCAGCTTTGCCTGTTAAAGCTGCGCCTACCCTGTCGATGCCAGACTGGTGATGGCAAGATCCCAGGAGCACAGGCACCCAAGTGCCAGGGCTAACAGTACACCTTCCCAGGAGGTCTCTTCCTGTGGCCCCTCCACCTTTTCAGGCTGCCACGGGAACTCTCTCCTTCTGGATAGGCCTTCATGTCTCTGAGCTTTGAGGAAATGTTTGCCTAAGGACTCTCTCTTCTATGGCTCCTCCTACCAAACTGTCCTCTGGAAGGAGCTGAAGAAAACAAAGGAATGTTGGCCAAGGGGAAAGGCCAGCAGCACACATACAAGCCCACATGCGCACGCACACTCACAAGCACATACACATGCACACACACACACACACACACACACACGCACGCACGCACACACACACGCACACAAAACACACACACAAATTGATGTGCTTAGTGGGGAGGGTAAAATGCTTCTTGTGAGGAGGCTGAGAGCTGAGAGGCACTTACAACATAGCCTTGGCCTCATACAGGCTGGGACTGAACTCTAGAAGAAAGGGAGCCCATGTCTGGTGACAGGAAAAATCTGGTCTGGTTTATTGGTTCTAGGGCTGGGGAAAGTCCCCAAAGCAGGGTTCTGCCCCTGGAAAGAATTTGCTAGATGTCATGCCCCCTTCAACCACACCATCGGGATATCTCTGGGGACAGTAAGTTCCTGTGTGGGTGGAACAGTCCCAGAGGGCTACGTGGAGGAGTTGTAGTAGCCCCAAGTTTTCCCAGCCTTCAGAGGCTACCTGCTGTACCCTGGACTCTGCCTGCTTCGACCAGGCTTGGGTCATGGAAACCACTGTCTTTCCACTGAGCAGACAGCTTATGGCCTCCTTCCGCACTCAGCCAGCTGTGTCTCCCGCTCATAGATGGGTATCTGCTTCCATGGACTTGGCTTGCCCCCAAAGCCAGGCCCAGACACTCTCTACTCACCCTCTGGTCTGCAGTCTGGCCAGAGTTAACCCTCCAGGGACCTCCTCTAGCTTGTGTCCCAGACACGGATCCCTGATCCTGCTGCCCTCCAGTGACCACTCGTGCCCCCTAGTTGGCTGGCTGTGCTCCCCACTGAGCCAGAGAGGGGTGGGGAGGCCAAGTGCAAGCCTGCTCTAGATTAAAACTGGTCTAACAGGTTGGCGTGAAAGGGCTGCTCTGGCCTGCCCAGGCTCCCTTTCTGAAGGAGGACAGCCGAGGTAGGAGGGTTGCCATCGGAGAGTTAAGCCAGCCGGTCATGGCTTCAGCTTCATTCAGACACGTACAGCCTTGGTCTAGCAGGCTCTGCTCAGGCAGCAAATTAAATGCTGGACTTAGGTTCAGGGGCCCTTGGGACCAAGGGAATGCTAGGTGACTCAGTAATCTTGACTAAGACATCTCAGCGAGACACGAGCCAGTTAGACCTGCTGACAAGAAATACCTGGGTGGCTTCGTACTACCTGCCCCCTCCAACCATTCCAGAGGCCTGAGTCCAGAGAGCAAACCACATAGGACCACTTTCCAAGCCCATCCTCCTGTGGCTGGGCAGAGTCTTCCAGGCCCCAGCTCCGCCCCCAGGCCACGCCCTGCTGAACCTCTCTACTCTTCTGTCTGGCTTTTGAACCTTGGGAGGCTAAGGCTTTGGCAGGTGAGTCTTCAGAGACAGGGTAGAGCAGTGGTTCCATGAATAAGGTCTGGAGGCAAGGCTTATGATCCTGAGCTAGCCATTTCCTCTCTCTAAGCCAGTGGTTCTCAACTTTCCTATGGTGTGACCCTTTAATACAGCTCCTCATGTTGTGCGGACCCCCAACCATAAAATTACTTTCGTTGCTATGTCATAACTGTAAGTTTGCTACTGTTATGAATCTTACTGTAAATATCTGTGTTTTCTGAAGGTCTCAGGAGACCCCTGTGAAAGGGTCGTGACTCACAGGTAGATAACTGCTGCTCTAAGCCTTACCCCTTCAACTGAAAACAGAGACAACCTCTGTTAGTGTGCAGGGCTGGAGCCACGCCCCAAATTGCCACCTTTGCCTCCTCCGGTTGCGGTGGCGCCCCACCCCTCTAAGTTCCGTACCTGTGAGTCTTCTCATGGGCCACCTGCTTTGATGTCGTCATGGAGCTGCCCACCTAGAGTACTTTAGAAATGAGCATCAGAGCTCAATACAGCCCTCTAGACTCTGGGGTGCTCCACCAGCTAGGATCAGTTCAGCTGCCCTCCCCACTCATCCTGGATTCTAGGTTGGTTTCTGTCTTAGCGCCATTGTACGGGTTGTCCCCAGTTTTGGGGGGCAGCCTCTCCCCACGTTACCCACAGGACCTACCCCTCCACTTTTCTCTGGTAGCCAGGTTCACTGCCACCCTCTCAGCACCTTCTCGAACCCTCTTTGCTGCAGGGCGACCCGCACCAAGGCCATTCTTTCTCCCCCACTCAGAACCCGCCCCTTTGTTCACTTTTTACAACCTCTCTTGCACTACCCGCAAGCTCCATGAGGATGGAGGCCATGTCTGTCTCGTTCCCTGCTGTGCCCCCAGGGCCTTGATGGAGTCTGACTCAGTTAGTGGCCAAAGAGCACAAGTGAAGGGACTCAGTCAGTGAAGGGTGACATTAATTACTCTTTGGGCATTACGCAGGGTCCAGCATGCCCACCTCGTGGCTTACCCTTCCTCTCCAGCTAGCGCCAGCAGGGTTGTCCTTTTAGTAGCCCAGGAGCATCCAGGGTGGTCGCACTGGCCAGCTGCTTTTCCCTTCCTGTTAGGCTTGGGTCTCTGACTTGGGTCTGGGGTCCAATGACATGTTTTCTGCTGTCCTTGGCCCTAGGCAGGCATTGGTATTCCTCTCATATACAGACTGAAATGTCAGTAGCTGGCAGCCCCCTGTCAGGAAATAGCTAGACTCTGGTTTGAGGGGAGCTGGGGATGGCACATTGCCAGGACCACTCCAGCGCTCTCAGTAGGCGGAGACGGGTCGAGAGAACAGCTGTCCAAGCTGCCACCCAGCTGCCGATCTCCACCTCACAGAGCCGAGTGGGGCCGAGCGCAGGTGGATGAGCACTGCTCTGTGCTCAACTCTCTGAGCGGCCTGAGCCAGCCCCTGCTCCTGGCATTTGAATACAGGGTAGTATTTGAACCCCACTCCCGTGCAGTGCAGAGTCCTCACGCAGACTTGCACCTGGCAGGCATTCTTAGACAGTCGCTCGTGTGAAGAATGAGGTTTTCTCTGCTTCCTTTTCTTACAGCAGCTGACTGTCCAGGCTGAGGCACCAGATGTGAAAAGCATGCCTCTGGCCCCTGTGTGCCCACTACTTTCCCACTATATGACTCAGATCTGGGGGGTGGAGGGCAAGAGGGATTACCTCACACATTTTGGGAACCACAAAGAGGCTGAGATCAAAGTTGAAGAAAAGGCACTACCAGGGCCATGGTAACGCCGGGAAGAGGTGCACTGTTGGCCCCCACTGTCAGCAAAAGTTTTACCAGCTGCCACCAGCAATGGAGAAGGTGTCAGACCAAGTGGACGTGGACACTACTTCCAGCTTTTAAAAATATCACCCCTCCTTCATCTACCTCTTTTTAACTCTAACCCAATGTCATTCCTTTAAAAAAAAAAAAAGGAAAAAAAAAGGATTTTTCTGTGTGTGTTTCTGTGTGTGTAGGTGCACAGAGGCCAGAAGACCGCATCACTTCCACTGGAACTGGAAACTCTGGTCCTGAAAGAGTCGCAAACACTCTTGACCCCCGAGCCATCTTCCCAGCCTGCATGATGTCATTCCTCTTCTCTGTCATTACTGTCTCCTTGTCCTCAGTCCTGGGCCTCCCCAATTCTGGTTGTTTATTTTTTTTTAGCCTCTTCTGTATCAAGATGCCGCTTCTTGATACAGCTTCCTGCTCACAATCCACCATTACTGACCTCTTGTAATTTGCAACTTCTAATGGTCTCAGGACTAAGACCATATCCTGAAATGTTTCCATAAGGCTTAGAAGGCTATGAGCACAGCTTAGAGGAGCTTCCCTGTGAGGCCCTCACACACGGTGGGAGAAAATGTCAGGCCATAGCAGGATCCCAGCAGTCTAAATATCCCCAAGTCAGACCATTAACCCTGGACAGCAAGAATTTTGACACTCCTCCCCGAGACCAGACCCTACCAGCTCATTGGTCACTATCTCTGACTCAACTGATCTACCTCATTGCCCGGGAAGAGCCCTCTCAGGCCTCATGTCAGGGATCCTCATCATTCTCACATGCTTTTGTTTCCACTGTCCTTCCTCCTTGCCAGGTCTGTCCTGAGTTCTGTGGCCCCTTCTTCTCATACTACCCTCCCTCTGTGCCCACTTGCACTTTCGTTTTTTTCTGGAGCTGAGGATCGAACCCAGGGCCTTGCACTTGCTAGGCAAGTGCTCTACCACTGAGCTAAATCCCCAACTCCCCCCCCCCCACTTGCACTTTGAATGGCTACTTCCTCTACATACACCTCTTGGGCTTGGAGCCTCTCTGCTCCCCACTTCCCACATCCCCAGCGGTGCAATGGATAGCACACTGGAAGGCATGCAATAGACCTTCACCTCCTGTCTCTCATTTCCCAAGGGGAACAGGGGGGAGATGACAAGAAAAGCAGCTCTCTGTTACCTTCACCCCTCAGGCCCCTGGCAGAGACTGCTCAGCCATGTAAGGCTCTGAGCTTCTGCTTTTCCAGATGTGAAACTGGATCACAATAGGATGAAAGGGAGACAGACTATCCGCAACTCCAGATGCCCACAGAAGGCTTCATAAATGGAAGGCATAATTTTATTATCACTACAGAAAAATCAGTGGAAGAAAAACTACCAAGCTGGTTTTTGTGTTATAATAATGGTTTTATAAAGTCTCGTTAGGTATGTATTTCTTGCTCTCTCACATGCAGGCAACTTCCTGGTCAGGAAGCAGACACAAAAGAGCTGCAAGAGCAGCCCTTGAGCCAGCATCCCCTTCCTGACTCAGCACATGCCCCTCTGCAGGGAACGCACCACAGAGAAGCCAGCTCTGTGAAGGAAGCCATGTGAGGAGGCGAGTGTGAGCTCTGTGTTTCTGGCTCCCGTCTGTCTGGTTACCCAGCCTCCCAAAAGAGGCTAGGGAGAAAAGAGAGTGGGCACATCCATATGCAGGTGGTCAGGGCCAGGACATTCAGGACGACTTTGGGCCCAACAATACATCTGGGGATGGGGGGCTCCACAGGGAAGAACCAGAGCTGGGGATCTTTGGACCACCCAGGCCTTAGGGCAGAGAAATGGGGTGGCTCATGCCATTAACCCACCCCCAACCCCCCACAAGGAGAATAAATAAATAAATACTGTATAACTGTGTAGCCCCCCAGGCTGGCCTGCTTCCTCCCAAGGGGATGGCACTATCAACCTCAGTGCCTCTGGCCGATACTCTCCCAGAAACAGGCTGGCTGCTCTACAGATGGGCAGGGGGCCTGCCCTACCCAGCAGACCGAGAAACCAGGCCTGGGAGGAAATATAGAGTTCAGGTGGCTAGGGCACACCAGTGAATGGAGGCCTGGGTCCAGCCTCCAGGGTGAGACAAGGTCCTGCCTGTCTGTCTCTGCTCTGCCACGTGGCTTCACCACAAAGAGCCATATGGGACCTGGAGGCATTGACCTCGGAGTTGTGTGACAATCCCTCTTCCTTCCACCTGCCTTGTTCTTGCTGGCACCTTCTGTATGTATACAGGCACCAGGATGACTGGAGAGGGACAGCAGGAAGCCAGGTCCAGCTGGGGCCTGTGTCCGCTCCAGGATATAATTGTATGAGGCAGGGCAGGGTGTCCGGCCCAGTCACAGTTGGAAGGGGTACTGTCGGAGGTAGTCGGCCATGCGCCGGGGCAGCGGTAGGCAGTCCACGTCGGCCACCAGACGGTTGATGACAAGGCGACACAGATGTTGTAAGCTGCGAGCACTGCTCCTGCGCACAAAGGGCTGCACCAGTCTCAGATGCACGGCAGTCGCCATGGGGAGAGGCAGGGCGGAGTCACCAGGGGCCTCGTGCTTAGGCACAGGCAGGGCTGCGGTGGGAACAGGATCTGGGCTGTCACTCCGCGTGTCAGCGGCACAGGAGGCCACATAGTGCTGCACAAGGCTGACCACATCTGGGAAGGCCAGGATTCGAGGTCTGGACAAGCAGTTGGAGTCCAGCCGGAAGCTGGAATCGGCATACTCAATGCGCACATTGGTGGGGCCACGGGTGGTTTTGACGGACAGCGTGAACAGGTAGCTGGGGTGGGTGCTATCTCGTACTAGGAATGTGCCCTCTGGCATCTTCTGTAGGTGTTGCCGGGCCTCACTGGCTGTAATGGAACCCCAGTACCATCCTAGACAAGTAGAGAAGAGGCCAAGGGACGGATCAGAATGGAAATTACCTAAGGGCACCAACTCAGGGCTCTCAAGATAGAGAGCCCCTTCACATTTCCCTGGAGAGGGATGCATCTCTACCATCAGACTTAGGGGCAGGACCAGGCTTCCCAAATCCGATTCAAAATCCAAAGAGCTTAGTTCCTCCACAGACCTCTCAGGACAAGGTCTGTCTCTCCTGAGACTCACCAGATTCCCGAAGGTAGGAGAAAGTCTTGGCTATGCACAGCAGGTCCTCCTCAGGGTCCAGCACCTTTGGTTCGCTCTCTGACTGGACAGGGGTCTCCTCTGCCACCTCCTCTGGGAGTGCCCCAGTGGGCAAGGGCTGCATGGTTGGCTCAGGCAGCTCCAGAGACTGGGCCCACAGAGGCCGCTGCCCGGTTTGTTCCACAGCCAGCAGAGGACAAGATCTAAAGTGGGCAGATAGGCAACAGAGCTCTCATATGATCTTCATTTTCAGAAAAGTCCTTTGATTTCTTCCCCCAAACATACCGATTTAAAAAAACAAAAACAAAAAACCCACGGCCTCACTATGTAGCCCTGGCTGGCCTGGAACTAGTTATGTAGACCAGGCTGGCCCTACATTCACAGAGATCCACCTGCTTCTGTCTCCCAAATGCTGGCATTAAAGGTGTAAGCCACCACACCCAGCTCATATATACAGATCTTTCTTTCTTGTTTTTTGGAGTGCTGGGAACTGACCTCAGAGGCTCACACATGCTAAGCAAGTGTTCTACCACTGAGCTATATATACCCATACCCCCAGTTTCATAGAACCCATTCTCAAAAGATTCTTTTCTACTCTCCTGCATTTACTCTATACAAGCTAACCCTCATCTTGTATCACCAAAATCACAGGTCATTCCCCATGAGCACTTTCAGCATTCTTACCACAAGAATGGGGAACCTGTCAATGCAAAAGCTATCCCCCAGCTGTGCTCTGATTGAGGTAGCCTGTCAAATGCCACTGTATCTGGTAGTCACAGGATGAACTCGGGTGGGATCCTCAGGGAGACCTCAAGATTACAGGAGAAAACCTAAGGTTACACGGTGGCTTCCTGTCAATGGAGGTGTCTGTTGGGGGTCCCTCTGTCCACACCGGCTAGGACTTCACGACCTAAACAAGCTCCTACCCACAAGCGGCTAGATTCCCATCCTGGGCTCTGCTCCTCTCAGCTGAGGGGAGGCAGTGGCCTCTAAAGGCATTGGTGACTCTTAGCTCTCATAAAATATGAGCTCCCACCAAAGGACGGAACACTCAACCCACACTCCAGACTCCACCCTGTCGAGTGTGTACAGTTTACCTCTCTCTGGGTTGCTGTTTTTCTTCCTTCCAGATGAGGGCCTACTTGCCCTGAGGGGTTTAGCAATATTAGAGCGCTTTGGTTAGGGGAACCGAGATGGCTGAAGTCCTAGGGGAAGCCCACCCAGGTGGTGGCCCAGGGGCTCTGCGTCCTGAGGAAGGAATAGTTGGAGCTCACTCATTTCTAATGAAATATGCCTCCCGGCCTCAGTTCTGTGTCTAGGTCCCTGCTGGATCTTAGGACCTCAAGATAATGAAACCCTAGGCTCTACCCACACTTGCCGGGGAAGGCAACCCCGTATCAGGGATTGCTTGTAAACAACAAGGGGTGCTTAGGAGCTGGTGGCAGTCAGCAGGGACAGAAGCCAGACCTGACAGTGTAAGTGGTGTTTAGAAGGTCACGGTCCTGTGGCCACTCATCAGAAGGGGTGGCTGGCTCTTCCTGCCAAGTGTTTTTCCACACTTAGTCAATCTGACTGAGCCGTGAGAGCTCTGGAGTCCCACTTAGTGAGTAGAATTTTGAGGTGACCTGCCTGCTGGGGCTCATAGCCTGTTCCAAGTACCTTTTGAGAGGATGTGGGCAGCTAGCCAGTCATTCCACAGCCTCTGTTGTAAGCACGGCCAGACAGCTTAGTGAGGCCCCTTGCGCAGGTCCCACATGCATGTGCAGTAAGCACCTCTGGGGCTGGTATGGCGTCTAGGTGTAGAATGGCTATGTTAATCCCCTCAGGTTGCTGGGGAGAGACTATATATCTAGGCAGGGGTGTGTCTACCACTGTGTCATTGTGGTGGGGGTGAGGGCTGGTGTGTTCCAAGAACCTGTGTGTGCATGTCTTGGAATCTAGCCATTAAGTCCTGCCTGACGATACAAGCCAGTGAGATGAACCAAGCCCAGGGAGGTGGGATACATGCGCATCTGTTCAAGAGCTTGTGTCCCTAATGGCCAACGCTGGCCCCAAGGTTCCCAGGGGCTTTCAGTTAAGGCAGAGTCAAAGAGGCTGTGGGAGCCCAGAATGGAGGAGGGGGGCCACCCAAGAAAGAAGGCAGTGTGTGAGTCTGCTGAGGAGGCCAAAATTCAAAGACTGAAGGAACATGGTAGGGACTACCAAGGAATTAACAGTCTTCCCAGCATCTCCATGTCCTTGTCCTGAGACCCAGGACAGCTTAGAGCAAGGGCACTTCAGCCTGGCCCTACCCTCCACTCTTCCTCACTTAGCACCATACGCATGTCAGTTATAACAACTGCTACCGCACCACCCAGCTCTCCCTGGATTTGTAATACCCACATATACACATTTCCTCTCTTCTTAGCATTTTCTTAATTCCTGACTGATCAATGACTTAAGGGGACACTGAAACAGAGTGAACAGGTGTGCCAAAACCACTCAGCGGAGGCCAAGACTTTGTCTTATCAAAGCCCCAGTCCACCTACAAGCCCCATATTTCCATGTCCATCTCCAACCTCGGAGAAAGCAAGCTAACGTTTTTGTCGCACTGAGACCTCAATCTGGGCTCAAAAGAGGTGTGGGGATGCTCCTAAGGGTGCTGGTTATCAGGTGCCAGTCTTGGGAGAGTCAAGGACCTCAGGGATGGCCTAACCGCTGACCTGGGACGGAGGAATGGACACCTGAACAGAGAGGAGTCCAGGGGCTGGTCACTGGCAGGTAGGAAGCCGGAAGGCGTGGTAAGCTCTGGGCTCAAAAAAGTCTAGACTGGTGAGCTCCATCCTGGGGGACCTCTTAAAGTTGTTGCCAGTGAGATCTCAGGAATGGGGGCTCCTCCTCCCACCGCTCACCAGCCCCGTTTAACTGTGTGTGTGTGTGTGTGTGTGTGTGTGTGTGTGTGTGTGTGTGTGTGTGTGTGTGTGTGTGTCGGGGGGTATCCTAGGCACACCACTCAAGGTCCTCTCGCACTCCATCACCTCCAACCAGTCAAGCCCTCCCAAATCCCGCAACTAGCTGGAGGTCTGTGATCTCCTGTGCTTCCCGCGTGGAGCATAGGCACGGGCAGGGAGAGAGCTGCGCTTACCCCTGTACGCAAAGGACCATGTCCTAGAGGCCACGGCGGCTCGAGAGTCGGGGCTCGGCGGGACGGAAGCAGAAGGGAGCCAGTGGGTGTCGAGGGCCCGAAGGTCAAGGTCCCGGGGCTCACGGCCGGCAAGCAGGGACTGAAAGGCTGTGGAGCTAGCAGCCTGGAAGGACGAGGGGGCCGGACCGGCGGGGCGGGGCGGGGCCAGGCGCCTCCTAATCTTTTGTCCGCTGCGTCCCAGCCCTTCCCGGAAGCCGCATCTTCCTAGAACCGCAGGCTTTGCGGCGGCCGGGAGGGGAACAGGGGCGCTGGCGTCTGGGGCTTCGGGCTGCGAAAGGAAACACCTTTGACAGATTTCCAAGAACTTTCCAGGAAAACTGGGCAGGAGCTCCTCGAGTTGACCAATCGCAGCTCTGGAGGTGGAGCCGAGCCGCTGGACGGGCCAATTGAAGTGCGTGAACCCTGGACTGACGTGACCGAGTGAGGCGGGGCCTAGAAACTGTTCGGGAGAAGACTGAGTTTAGGGGCAACTTAAGAAGGAAGAAGTGTGCGACTCAGGCCAGATTGTCTTCCTTTCCTCAGCTTCTTTGGGGATGGGTGCGCTTATCTCCCCGTAGAACTACAGGGCGAGGGCAGGGTCTGGGCCGGTCCTCCTACCTAGCCGCTCCTATCGGACGTTGTATTAGGGCTCCCTATTGGGTCTCGTTTACAGCAGGACACTATGTGGAGTTGCCAGGAGGTAGGTGTTGTGCTGTGAGATTTGGAGATAGACTTAGGGAGAGGCGTGGGGTGCAGAAGGGGGCCGAGGAAATGAGTAGGTAGGTCTGCTGTGGTCACCACAGCTGAAAGGATTCAGGCTACATCTAATCTTTTTTATCCAATGAGTTCATCCTATCTGTATCTGATCTCTGAGTGGACCTCCAGTCATGGAACGGGAGATGAACAGAGACAATCAGCTCCCAGATAGCTCAGTCTATGGCTTGGTGAGGTACAAACAAATGCTGTGGGAAAACTGAGTTCAAACAAAGGGAGAGAGTTTGGGGATAGGACCATAGAGGTAGGGGACAGAACCGTGACTCTGCTCTCCTGTAAAACAGAGAACTTGCTATGTTTTATTCCCAGTAACTCACCAGGGAGAATTAAAAAGGATCCAGACTATCCTGGAACTCGGTATGTAGACCTGTAGACCAGGCTATCCCCAAACTTCCAAGTACAGGCTTCCGGTGTGGGATTACAGGCTAAGCCACTGTGTCCAGTTTACCAGGGAGCATATTGAAGGACTGTAGGGTCTATAGAGAACACCCTCCAAAACCTTGGTCCAGGATATGGGGAGATGGGATCTAGAGAGCCAGTAGCATCCACTACTTCCACACCCATCACTGTTCAGTATGTGTGTCTCTTCCCTTGACACATGTCACTCCACCCAGATTCCTCAGAAAGGGTGGCTACAAACCTTTGGCAGGGCCGACAGGTTTCTGGCAGTGTACAGGACCTTGAATAATAGCATCTGGGCTTTCCCCAGCACAGATAAGGCTCTGGGTGCCCCACCCAAGATAGAGAGCTGAAGATAAGACTCTGTGAAAAGGGAAGAGTACTTAATGAAGATCAGAAATGACTCCAAAGGACTCAATTCTCTGTAGCTGCCCCGAAGGGGAAGTTAAGCTTCAGTGTAACTCAATCAGAGCTCCCAGAATAGAGTAAGAAGCCAGTTTCTTGGAATATGGGTGGGGTAGAGCTGGAGTATCTAGAAAGCATGGGATCCCTGTGTGGCTGCTAACTCTTCTGTAGGAACTACTGCCACATTGCTAAGAAGATAAGGGGATTTCACAGGTGTCATGCAACTGAGTTGTAATTTTCTTTTTTTTTTTTTTAAAGCGTGTGTGTGTGTGTGTGTGTGTGTGTGTGTGTGTGTGTTCAAGTGTTTGCAGGTGCCATGGCACTCCTGTGGAGTCAGAGGATAACCATGTGAGTCCCAGAGCTCGACAAAGGTTGTCAGGCTTGATGGCAAGCACCTTGATTTCCTGATCAATTTCTCTGGCCCCCAGAGCTGTGATTTTGAACTTGGACCTTCTGATGCCACATTTCAAGCACCCCAAGACCGTGTCCCTTCCAGTTTACTGTGACTACTGAATACCTACCGTTTGCTAGACACTCAGCAAGGTCCAGTTTTATTTAGCAGTCACAACAACCATAGATAATGCCATCTGTTATGTGTGGAAACTAAGACACAGATTACAGCTAGCAAGTAGTGGGTTGCAACTAAAGCCTTTTTACCTTCCATATACTTCGCCTCTAGGTCAAGGTAACCTTCAAACTCCTCGGCATCCTTCTCTGTCCTTACTCTAGTCTGTATCAGAGCACCTGTATTCCCTTGAAAGCATCTCCTACAGAGGTCAGGGATTCGGAAGTTCTGTGCAAACCAATGTCCCCAAGGGGTTTGACTCTCCAATAGTCTTTTGTGGATTTAACAGTGTTATGCATCTCAACCTGTGTGCTGGGAACTGTTGTGTGCCCCTGTTCTGCCCAAACTGCCCACCTACTTGCTTCATTCAAGCTTTGTGAATAACTCTGGCCATTCCCTTATTACCTCTCCAATCCCTGACTGCTCCGTTGAATGGACCCCCTCCTTGACTGCTGGGCCCACACTGCCACCTGGTGGCGGAACCAAATACAAAGAGGTATTCCTTCCTAGTGTATTCTGTTGCAGGCACTGCGTGGGTTCCTGTTGCTGCAGGACACCTTTGCCTTCACCCTCCCAGAAAAATCACAAGATGGGTCACAAGGATACACAGCAATATTCCCTCAATATCTGGCTTCTGTCCTTTCACCATGAGCAGGTTCCCTTTCATCAAAAGGCAATTGTGGTGAGGAGCAGGGGCTGCCCTCCAGCAGCCACTTACTGGATGGTCTGTTTGGTCACTGTAAGTTACTTCAGTGGCCTCAGTCTCTGTTCCCTTGAACACAACTATTACCAAGGGCTAAGTGGCGGAGTCTGCTGCCATGAACCCAGCCTGCCCAGGCCCAGCATCCTAGGTTTCGAATCTTTCCAATAGTGTGAAAGGGGACATGATTCCAGGTGGTTGCTGCAGCACAGGCACTGAGAAGAAGCTACACGTTCTGATTTTCCTGGGCTAAGTGAACAGCTGGAAAACCTCTGTTTATGATTGATATGGGAAATACATGTGTCTATATAATCATAGGCATTTACATTTAAATGTGTGTGTGTGTGTGTGTGTGTGTGTGTGTGTGTGTGTGTGTGTGTGTGTGTGATGGGTAAGCATGCCACACTGTGAATGCAGAAGCTAGAAGGCAACTTTGTGGAGTCTGTTCTCTCTTTCCACCTTTGTATACATCCTAGGGATTGAACCTTTATGGGGCTACTTACATTTATACTTCAGTGTGGTCTGAACAATTGCAGCAAGCAAGTTTGACTTCTGTGAATATAAATTTTAACAAAATGCAGGGTATGGTGGCTCACATCTGTAGTTCTAACACTTGAGAGGATGAGGCAGGAAGGTGAGGAGTTGAAGGCCATCCTTGTCTACTCAGTGAGTTTGAGGTAAAAAAAGAAATGGAATGCTTTCTGAAATGCCCAGGGATGTGTTCATATGGTGTTGTTCTTGATTCCCATCATTACTTAAAGGGAAACTTACACAATGTCGGGAGCCCTCGATGTCCTCAAATTCCTTGAGGCAGGGACCCACTTAGGTAGCACCAACCTTCACTTTCAGATGGAGCAGCACACCTACAAACACTTTCAGATGGAGCAGCATACCTACAAAAGGAAAAGCAATGGTATCTACACCATAAATCTGAAAAGGATCAGGAGAAGCTGTTGCCTGCAGCTCAAGCTATTGTTGCCATTGCGAACCCTGCTGGCGTCCGCATCACCTTCTCCGGGAACACTGGCCAGTGAGCCCTGATGAAGTTTGCTGCTGCCACTGGAGCACTCCAATTGATGCCCTTTCATGCCTGGCACCTTCACTAACCAGATGCAAGCGGCCTTCAGGGAGCCGCGGCTTCTAGTGGTGACTGGTCCCAAGGCTGACCACCAGCCCCTCACAGAGCCCTCTTGTGTCAACCTGCCCACCAATGCTCTGTGTAACACAGACTCTCCTCTGTGCTACGTGAACATTGCCATTCCATGCAACAACTAGGGAGCTCTCTCAGTGGGTCTGATGTGGATGCTGGCCCCGGAAGTACTCTGCATGCATGGCACTGTCTCCCGTGTGCGCCCTTTACTTCTACAGAGACCAGAGGAGACTGAGTTCACTGTTGTTACCCAGAGGTAGCAGACTGGTCTGAGGGAATGCAGGTGCCCTCTGTACCCATCCAGCAGTTCCCTGCTGAAGGCTGGAGTGCCCAGCCAGCTACTGAGGACTGGTCAGTAGCTCCCACAGTATAGGCCACTGAGTGGTTGGAGTCATCACTGAGTGGTCCTGAGCTACTCTGCAGATACCTGAGCAAAGGGGGAAAAGGTGGATGGAAAATAAAGTTCCTAAAAGCTGAAAAACAAACAAACAAACCAACAAGCAAACTTAAAAACACAATTTAAAAATTTTAGGGTACTTAAAATCTAGCTCTGTTTTGGTTTGGTTTGGTTTTTCGAGACAAGCTTTCTCTTTGTAGCCCTGGCTGTCCTGGAACTTGCTCTGTAAACCAGGCTAGCCTCAAACTTAGAGATCCACCTCCCTCTGCCTCCAATGTGCTGGGATTAAAGGTGTGTGCCACCACCACCCAGCTTAACCCTATTTAAAAATATTAATTTTATTTTTAATTATGTGTATGTGTTTGTGTGCAGACATACATGAGTGTGGATGCCCAAGGAAGCACAGTACAGGATCCCCTGGAAGCAAAGTTACAGGTGGTTGTGACCCACCTGGGTATGGAGAATGTAACTTGGGTCCTCTCAAAGAACAAATGTGCTCTTAACAGCCGAACCCCATTTTTGGTTTGTTTTAAGAAAGAGACATTTTTGAGATGCCCAGCCCTAGTTTCCACCCTTAGTTACCTACCTTGTGGAATCCTGCTCATAGAGAACGAGACCTTGCTGAGCCTTGGGTTCACTAGCTTCAAACTGGTTGCCTACAGAGAGCAGTGCCTGCCTCAGCCTCCTAGCAGCAAAAACTTCCAGATTGCATGGCTTCCTTCAAGCTCTTAGATCTGGGGTCTGATTATTAGGTGGGACTATGATTCCACCTGATCCTAGATGCAGCTAGGCAAATGTGTGTGGGTGTGTGCCTGCACATGGCTATATGTATCTGTGCATATGTATGTCATACACATTTATGTATCTGAATATCTGTGTGTGTCTCTTGTATGCAGTGTGTGTGTATCAGGCTTTTTCTTTTAGGCCACCAACCAGCTCCCAAATCATGACATAGAGACTTATCCTTAGTTTTGAATGCTCGGCCTAGCTTAGGCACATT